TTTAAATAATTTGAATTAATTTGAAGTTCAGGTTTAAATTGGCAAATGTTAAAAAAATCAGGTCCAAAAAGGCCTGATGGCAATAGTTCTGGTCCAAAAAGGCCGTTCCTTTTGCCTACGTGTCGTCCATGTCACTATTCCGTTAACGTTGACTAACGGTAACTTGGTCAAGGTCCAAATCAACAATAAATCGTATGTTTGGGTATCTAGTTTGAATTAATTTGAGGTTCGGGTTTAAATTGACCAATGTTAATAGATCAGATCCAAAAAGGCCCGATGGCAATAGTTTTGGTCCAAAAATGCCATTTTCCCCAAGATACATAAGCCAAATCAAGAAATACATCGAAATCTGTAACGTCAATCTCTTAGTGATGGAATCATCTAATTTCTTATTAAGATCTTAGTGGCTATAAGGATGGACTAAACTGGATCTATGAGAGTGCATATTCACTGAAATTCAAGAGGCACTTACAGCTAGGAGTGGTAAGCTTAAGAGTCCTGAAGCAAATGTCATAGAGAGCCTCGTTATCAAGAACCATACACTCGTTGGGAGGAGGGACTGGTTCGGGGATGGGAACACTACTGATTTCGAAGATCAGAGAAGAGTACCCAGATCGGTTTCTGTTTTCCCATCTCCGAAAGTATCTGACACTCTTGTTGAGCGTTACAATGCAACTTTGTCTGTTCATCAGCTCGTGGAGAATGCAGATCAAACTTGGAATCCTGAAGATACACAGAATATATGAATCCCAAAACCTTGACACTTAGACCAGCATATGTAGAAAGGGTTTTGAGAAGAAGATTTTCGAACCTTGCAAGCAGTCACAATTCTCAGCTTCTTTTCGAACAACATCGAGAACCGAGTCGATCAACTCAGCTCCTTCCGTGTAATGTCCTTTCGCCCAGTTGTTACCGGCACCGGACTGACCGAAAACGAAGTTATCAGGACAGAAGATCTGACCTTACGGACCGGATCTGACGCTATCCATCGTCCCAGGCTCTAGATCCATGAGAACGGCTCGTGGAACGAACCTACCGCAACTCGCTTCGTTGTAGTAGACATTGACTCGTTCGAGTTGCAAATCGTTGTCTCCTTGATACCTCCCCGTCGGATCGATCCCATGCTCGGCGCAAACCACTTCCCAGAACTTAGCACCGATCTGGTTACCACATTGACCACCTTCAATGTGAAGAATCTCTAGTATTTTTTGCGATGATTTCACTGAGTCAGAGACCGAGTTGTGTACTGAGTAGAGAAGTAAATTTGAACGGTTTGTTTAGTGGGTGGGGATGCAAT